CCAGGCCCAACCAGGAGGTGGTCTTTTCTATCACGTCTCTCCTCATGCAAAGCCCCCAACGAAAGCTAAAAAGCACTTCACAGCAGGGGAGGAAAGCTGAGTCGAAGGCATTCTGCTTACAGGGCCGTCGCTTATTCATTTATTCAAATGTGCCTACACATGTGTTGTGCGCCGTATCCCCCCATGAACACATGGACGCGGCACATCACCCCTGACCCTGTGGGGCCGTGGCAGAGTCAGGCACAGGCAACGCTGACCCAGCAGGATGGGGTGCTGAGTGCAGTGATGAGCACAAAGCAGCCGGGGCTATCCTGTCCCCTGGGGTGTGGGTGCCCCAGCCCCGGAGCACTTACCAAGGACCAGGCGCTGCTCTCACTCTGCAAGGGCAACCCCGCGTCAACCTCCTGGCCGCGTCACCAAGCGCTCGCTATGCTTCCCACTATACCGACGAGAAGGCAGCAGCCCAGCAGAGACGCTCAGGAGCGCGCGCAGGACCACACGGCTGCGTGACGGTGATGGCAGCAGGACTGCAAAGCCGAGGTCTGGCTGTGGAGCCCACGCCCGCTCCGGCCCCATACTAGGTAGGAGCCGGGGGTTAGCGGAGGAGGACGAGGCAGGCCCAGGCAAGGAGAGCTTCACAAAGGGAACAGGTTCACTCTGACTCAGGGAGAAGCGAGACCCGCCCACCACGTGGGGGAGTCCAGGCCTGACTCTTAGGGCCACAGGTTACAGCGCTGAGCACCGCAATACCAGACAAGAGCACAGACCTCACGTTCAATGATGCTCAAAAGAATGCATTTTTACGATGATTAGAAACTATAAAATGCATTTTAGTTACAAACTCATAACAATTTTTAACAAGTGCAAAACAAGGGAACTGCTACAAACAATACATGCCGGGGAGGGTGTGGAGAAAAGGGAACACTCCTGCACTGCAGGTGGAATGTAAACTGGTGCAGCCACTGTGGAGAACAGTATGGAGGTTCCTTAAACAATTAAAAATAGAGCTACCACATGACCCAGCAATCCCACTCCTGGGCTTATATATCCAAAAAAAAAACCATAATTTGAAAAGACACATGCACCCCAATGTTCACTGCAGCGCTATTTACCATAGCCAGGTCATGGAAGCAACCTAAATGCCCATCGACAGAGGAATGGATAAAGAAGATGTAGTAGATATATACAACGAAATACTACTCAGCCATAAAACAGAATGAAATAATACCATTTACAACAACATGGATGGACCTAGAGATGATCATACAAAGTGAAGTAAATCAGAAAAAGACAAATATTATATGATATCACTTATATGTGGAACCTAAAAAAATGATACAAATGAACTTATTTACAAAACAGAAACAGACTCACAGACATAGAAAACAAACTATGGCTACCAAAGGGGAAAGCGGGGGAGAGATAAATTAGGAGTTTGGGATTAACATGTACACACTACTATGTGTTAAATAGATAATCAACAAGGACCTGCTGTAGAGCACAGGGAATTCTGCTCAATACTCTGTAATAACCTATAAGGGAAAAGAATCTGAAAAAGAATGGATACACATATATGTGTAAGTGAATCACTTTCTGTACACCTGAAACTAACACAACATTGTAAATCAACTATACTCCACTATAAAGTAAAAATTAAAAAAAAAAAAAAGGGAATCGGCCAAATCTGTGGGGGTGAAAACTGTCCACAGTGCCATGCAGGAGCCCAGAGGTCTGTGTTCCCGACCCAGCCCTCCCTGCACGGGCACCCAGCACCCTGGTCAGGGGGCCCGTGACCTGCTGTATGAAATAAAAGCAACCACTTTGGAAAAAAAATCCACGTGATGTGAACTATTACAGTTAAGTCCGTCTCATCAACGTACTCTCTGTGAAACACTGGTCCTTAATGCCCAGCAGCACGTGTAACCAAAACGCACCTCTCTCTCATCCCAATTTTTAGAAAAGAAACCCATGGGGGACATTGGTTTACGTGGCAATGTGATTCCTAACTGCAGCACTCTAAACCTCCAGCACGGCTTGTTTCTACTCTGAAAGCATCACCACTACATTTCCAGGGCTAAATAAGTCTTTGTCTTTGCCAAGGAAAAGAAATGATTCGAGTAAGAGGACCTCGGGCCAGCTGCACGAGGGGGGTGGGGGTGGGGGGGGGTACTTTCTCAGCAACGTCGAAGTACAAGACGCTGCAATGCCTGTCGATCTCCCCACCTCCAGGTTTCTGGAGGCACAGGTGCTCCTGTGTCAGATGTAAAGGTCAAATCACAGACTTAGGGATTAAAAGAAACCTTCGGGCCTTGAGAAGCAGTGCTAAGAAAATCATCTCTCCCCATTGTGTCTCCTGTGTCCACACCCCACTGAGAAGTTACCACATCTGAGTCGATAACATGGCAAATTAAGGGTATAGCATGAGGAGGAGGAAACCACAAAAAGTCAAAAGGAGACGGAAAGCCCCAGAGATTAAAACTGCAATACCAGGGGCTTCCCTGGTGGTGCAGTGGTTGAGAATCTGCCTGCCAATACAGGAGACACGGGTTCGAGCCCTGGTCCGGGAAGATCCCACATGCCGCAGAGCAACTAAGCCCACGAGCCACAACTACTGAGCCCGCGAGCCACAACTACTGAGGCTGCGCTCTAGAGCCCACGAGCCACAACTACTAAAGCCCGCGTGCCTAGAGCCCGTTCTCCACAACAAGAGAAGCCACCACGATGAGAAGCCCGCGTACCACAACAAAGACCCAACGCAGCCATAAATGAATAAATAAAATAAATTAATTTAAAAAAAAACCCTGCAATACCTCTGACACCAGGGAACTTGTCACTACTTTTTTAAGAGATGGAGCAAGAGTCTCAAGGAATAAAGGCCGCAGAGGGCGACTATCGGAGCTTCTTCCCAAACAAAGCTGTGCTCTCTGGGAAGTAAAAACCACTGTCAACTCTCACCACTATGTGAAGACAGCCACAATTTATGGGTGAAATAAACGCTCTCGGGACTTCCCTGGCGGTCCAGTGGTTAAGAATCCACCTTCTAATGCAGGGGACGCGAGTTCGATCCCTGGTCAGGGAACTAAGAGCCCACATGCCGCGGAGCAAGTAAGCCCGCGCGCCATGACTACTGAGCTCACGCACCTCAACTAGAGCCCACGCGCCCTGCAGCCGGTGCGCCACAACTAGAGAAGAGAAAACCCACACACCACAACTAGAGAGAAGCCCGAGCGCTGCAACGAAAGATCCCCATGCCTCAGCGAAGATCCCGTGTGCCGCAACTAAGACCCAACGCAGCCAACAAAAAAGGAAAATAAAATAAGTAAATAAATTTTTTTAAAAAATAAAAAAAAAAAAATGCTCTCAAGTCCTAGTTGGCCCTCTCATTTCAAAACTGACATCCACAAAATTCAAATGGGAGGAACAGACGTCTGTTCCTGAAGCTGTAAGTGTATATAATTCATGCACTAGTAAACTTAGGTGGCTTGTGTTTTTAAACTGGGGCCACGAGAATCCAAAACAAGTGTCCCTTTATGCATCCGAGAGCCACCTGCCATTAACGTTTTCACTCTACGAACCACAGGTATCTGGTCACTTGTTTTTACAAGGATAAAACAGTGTGAAGCCAGTAAAATATTTATCTTGGACAGAAATCTGGATTAGGACGAGAAAACAGAAGTAGGCATAAACAAACATTTCTCTGGACAGAGAAGTATAAACAGAGTGGTCTTTTCAGTGATGCGTGAAGAGCGAACTCAACATTTTCATGGCTGATCTGAGGGAGAGGCTGGCCAGGGATAGGGCCACGTGTATCTATGGCACTAAACATTTCCAGCAGGAAAATGCCCAACTAAGGTGGAATACACAGTAAGTCCTTTCAGGTTCTTTGAACAAACAAACAGATAAGTAAATGGTACATGAGTTTTAGTTTGAGCAAAGGTCTGATCAGTTTAGAGAATGACGGCATTCAAGCTAGTCTTATGACAAACCCAAGCTCTCAAAAAAGTATATTCTTAAGAGAATACATCATACGTTTCTTGGCAGTGAACCTCAGAAATCTAAACTGGAACTAGCATAGAAAAAGATAAAACGGTCTATAGGTCTAAGGTTGAAGAAAAATTACGTAACCCTGTAACTGAAAAGAAAGAAGGAAAAGGGGGTAAACACAGTCAGAGGCACGACAGGGTAAACACACTTACTGGTTAAATTCTGCAATGTAAGTGTGGGGAGATGTCCTTAAAGCTTTAAAGAGGTAAGTTTATGCACAAAAAGGAACTTTATATAATGGCTAATAAATTTATATTCCTCTAAGTAGTGATACTAGCTGAAAAAAAAAAAAAAAAAAAAAACAGGCTCAAATAAATATATTTAAACATGACTGAGCTCCAGTCAGTGTTCTCGGTGCTATGCAGTGCATGCACTACAGGGACGTACATCGATATATTCTGCTCCCTGCACTTACCGTATAACCTGGCTGTGTTTGGTTAATTAGAATACCAGCTGGTAGAATGCTGTCGGTGTCATAAAGACAAAACAAAGAAACAGTAAGTGCAGGAGCTGCGAGGGTGAGCCCTCTCGGGGCTCAAGACAGTCGGCGGGCATCTGAACTGTGTCGGGAAGAGCAAACAGAATTTGGACAAAAGTAACTTTGAGGGAGGGAACAGTAGAAGAAAAGTCTGTAATGTACAGCATGGTGACTACAGTTAACATTGTATTGCATATTTGAAAGTTGCTAAGAAAACAGGTCTTAAAAGTTCTCGTGACGAGAAATTTTTTATAACTACGCAAGGTGACGGATGTTAACTAGACACTGTGATTGTTTCACAATATATATAAATAGAGAATCATGTTGTACACCTGAAACCAATATAATGTTGTAGCCCAATTATACTTCAATTTTTTCCCACAATTTTATCTTTTTTTATTCTTTATTTTTTACTTTTTGGCCGCGGGGCTTGCGGGATCTTAGTTTCCTGACCAGGGATCAAACCCGCGCCCCACACATTGGAAGTGCAGAGTCTTACCCACTGGACCGCCAGGGAAGTCCCTCAATTTTTTTAATTACACACACACAAAACGGAAAGAAGAAGAACAGTCTTAAGAGCGAGATGTGGATTTCCTAGGCCCTCTGGCAAATACTGGCCTAAACTGTCCCCTGAACGTCATTACTGGGGTGTCCAGCTGCACCTCAAATTCACGCGCAGAAACAAACATACGCGTTCCTTTTTTCAAGTCATTTCTCCTTATAACTGCCCTACTTGCATTAACTATGCTACTGTTTGCCCCGGTTACTCTGGCTCAAACCCTGGAAGTTATTTTATATATTATATTGCTCCTTTTTGAGGATTCTTTACTCTTTTTGTTTACAATTCCCTGTCCCTCTCACTTCCTGTCCCTTTGTCCTCGCAAACATGCCTGATGCACAGTCCTCCATGCATACCATTTAGGCCCCCCGGGGAAACTACCTGCAGAGAACGCAGTGGAGGACAGACAAACCCAGAATTACTTGCTGAGCTTTGACGCCCGGTCTCAGCCTTAAATCCTGGGATGCTGGATTGCACCGGGCTCAGAACAGATGGAGAATTCCAGCCGTGAGGATCTCAAAGCCTAACCCGTGTAGGTCAAAGACCTCTTGCTCTGCCCCCCAAAAGGCCACAGGGAATTAACCTGATGGTGAGGAAGGACCCTTACTGAGAATGTGGGCTGGCAAAAAAAAGAACTGTGAAGGCTGCCCGCCCCAATGCCCAGAGCAGAGGTGGTCAAAGTCCTGCACCCCAAATATTTCTAGGGTGGGAAGGAAAGGTGAGTCTTCTGAGCAGAGGGGTGATAACTGACAGTTTAACAATACTTTGGGATTTGTTTTGAAGGACAGCAGCGATTCTGTTATTTTATCCTCGGGGATAACTATGCCTCCACCCCCCGACGATGTCTCTGGGGTCCTGGAAGCCCAGGGCCCTGCGCACAAAGGTTTCTAAAACACAGGGAGAGAGCTTGGACCTAGCATACGATGGACAGCAAGACTGTCACCCCCAGGATGTCACCTGCTACGGCCTGCTGATTGGACCACAACCATCAAGTGCTCATTTTGACGTAATTCTGAAATGAACCTTCCTGTTAAACAGCTACTGAACATGCTAGCAGTCAAGGCAAGCTCAGGCCAGCTCACGTGGCCACCACCATGTTAAACACACTACTGACCTTTACAGTCCAGGCCGTAAGGCTCCATCCTCGGTGCAGCGATCTGAGCAGCGGGCAGTCATCGGCTGTGAGAGCGAAGTCCAGCACCGCCCGGTCTGAAGGGAGGCGGCGTGGAAGAAGGAAGACCGATGCTGAACGCACTGTGAAATGCAGGTGCGGCTGCACCTGCAGGAACCAGGCGGCCTTTGACAGCGTCAGCTGCAGGAGGCGGAGGGCGCGGGCTTTCCGAACTGCAACCCCCCAAGCCCGCTACAGTGAGGACCAGTGCTTAGCGCTTCAGTTCGATGAGATTACGGGATAGCTGCAAGGTTTCCCTTCGTCTAGCTTCTGAGACAAACGCCTCTCTCTCTTTTCCCCTTGCTCCCCCTTCCTGTTTGTGAAAATCTAACTCGTGTTCAAGCTCAATCCTTGGTGCAGGCCTGCATTTCAGGAAACCGTTCATCAATACAGGAAGCAGAGCTACCGGGAAACTGCTTTGGGGGAAAAATGGAGCTCCTGAGCTATAGAAAGAGATATGTGGGGGTTGGGGAGAGATGACGAGGCCGGGCACAGAGGGTTGTCAGGACCATGAAAATTCTCCGTATGATGTTATCATGGTGGACACGTGTCATTACACATTCGGCCAAACTCACAGAACAAGAGCGAACCAAGAGGCAACCCCAAGGTAAACCAGGGGCTTTGTGTGATCATGGTGTGTGGAAGCAGTTGGTCATTGGTTAAAAAACGGACCGCTCTGGTGAGCTTGCTGATAACTGGAGAGGTTACGCATGTGTGGGGCAGGGGGGACAGGGGAAACCTCGGGGCCTTCCTCTCAGTCTTCCTGGATGCCTAAAACTGCCCTAAAGAAAGTCTTTATTTAAAAAGAGAGAGAGCGCACTCCCTACATGTGCTAGGCTTACCAAGTATGGGTTCTGCCACGGGCTGGGAGGGGAACCACACAGGTGACATTGCTGGCTCGGATCGTTTTGGTTTTCTCCCTTTGGAGATAAGAGAGTCCTAGGATTGCGGATGAGGGGAGACTAAGGAATACCATACACAGTAAAACTGCACTAACTTGGATCCCAGCCCCCAAGTTAAGTGAAGGCGTTGGTGCTGCGCTGCTCACGCCTGCGGTGGCTCCCCGGTGCCTGCCGAGAGCGAACGCCACCTCCTGAGGAAGCCAAGCCGCTCGCGGCCGCCACAGGCTCGGCACCACCCAGAGTCGGGGTGAACGCAGGGAAGCAGCTGGAGGAGCTGCGCGCAGAGGCACGGAACGCTGGGCCCTGAGGGTTACGAGACCCGAGGCCCCGCAGGCACCGAGCACTGTGCGCCAGGTGTAACTGACGCGTGTAATCTCCAGTCCTCAGGACCGTGCAAGGAAAGCCGTTTTACACCCATCTTACGGAAGAGAACCCTCAGAGACGACATGCCCTACGTGGTAAGTGGGAGAGCCGGCTTTGACTCAAGAATACAGACCCTACCGGAGTCTCTACTCTTTCTATTAACCCTCAAAGTGTAGACCGAGGACGCTCACCTACTCGTCGGGGCCACCTAAGTTTAAAACTGAGCAGGGGTCTTCCCTGGTGGCGCAGTGGTTGAGAGTCCGCCTGACGATGCAGGGGACACGGGTTCGTGCCCCGGTCCGGGAAGATCCCACATGCTGCAGAGCGGCTGGGCTCGTGAGCCATGGCCGCTGAGCCTGCGCGTCCGGAGCCTGTGCTCCGCAACGGGAGAGGCCGCACGGTGAGAGGCCCACGTACCGCAAATAAAAAAACAACAAAAAAAAAACCTGAGCAGGAATAATGCCTGCGAGGCCCTACACAGTCCGGCCCCAGTGGGCCCTGCCTCCCAGGAACACTCTTATTTCAAAGAATCCGGCCCATTCCCTGACCCAGGAACACCTCCAAGGTAAGAGTTGTCTTCATCCTCTCCACCCAAGTCCTACCCATCAGATCCCAGCTCCTGGGTAAAGCCTGCCCTGAAGCAGCCAGTCTAAAGGGCCCTCACCCCTGCCTGACATCTCAACAGGACCGTAGAGACTTGGTCCTGAACTCCTTACTGCTTTGTCTTATCAGTCAGTTTTTTAAACTTAATACCTATCATTTGCACAGTTAAAATGGAAGCCCCCTAGAAATAATAGTTAGACCTCATACTTCCTTATAAACCCCACAGAACATCAACCTCCTAGGAACTTCAAATGTTCACTGGCAGAGAGGGAATACAGACCACGTACCGACTTGGGTTTGAATTCCCAGCACCACTAGTTACCCACACAGTGATCTCCAGCAAGCCTCGGTTTTCATCTGTAAATTATTACAACGTTATACCTATAAATTAGCTAATGAAATACCCAACCTCAAAGGGTAACTTCGAGATGATGTAAGCGAATGCCACGCGGCGCGGGTCCCTCCTCCACAAACACTGCGGGGGGGCTCCGTAAACACTCTGGAGAAGCAGCTACTTACAGGCGTCTTAAAAGACTGCAGAGACGCTGTTTACATGCACAGCCCATAACACGTCCACCAGTTAATGAGGTTCACAACATGAAAATACATCTTTAAAGTCACAAACGGCTACTTGCATTACAAAAGAATTTTTTCTCATTTTTTATTTTTTGCCCACGCTATCTTATAACAGTAAACAAATTTTTTAAAAGGATATTTATCCATAAGTTCATTACCCCAGCAAATCAACTCTTGTATTTTCCTGTTTTCCTTTCTAGTCCTTGGTCATACATTTATATATTTTACTAACATATTCATCTTGTAGGTACCAATTGATTTGGGGTTTTTTATTTACCATATCAAACATTTGATTATATTATGTTATATTAAATGTGAATATATTAATTATAACAGTATATATGTATTACATTATATATGTATATTATATAATATATATGTTATAATTAACATATATTTTAACATATAGTATTTAATGTATTTGTGGACATTAAACACATATAAATATACTTTATATATTATATTAAAACACAATGTGACTATATTAATAGTCTTAATCATTTAGCCATCATATAATATCCTACGAAGCTAACATCACAGTTTAGCTACTTTCCTGCTGTTAGACAACTATTATAATTCTTTTTAGATATTTATCATTATAACAATAATGTCTAAAGAACACCTCCATGTGTGAAAGTTTTTTTGCTTTTTTTTAACATCTTCATGCAGAGAACTGTTTTCTTTTAAATCTAGAACAAGCTAGACAAGGGGTCAACAGCTACCAAGCGAGGGGTAGGGTCCGAGTTTCACCACCAGCCACCAGCACAGTTTCCTCCGGTCACTTTAAATCACCTCCACTAAACAGCCACTCACGTGATGCTGCCAGGAGTGTAAGTAGGTACAGCATCTCTGAAGAGCGATTAGGCAGAAGTTCCACCCTGGGTCCTGACCCTAGAAATATACCTGAGCTTATGAATAAGCATCTTCTGACCGGGAAGTTCACCATCTCTAACAAAAAAGCCTGAAAACGATCTAAACATCCGTCAACAGGGGACTGGTTAAACTGCTCACTAAAATTACCTGGGGGGTGGCAGGGAGGTGTCCATAATGACAGACCTGTAGCCAACCCGGATCAATGAGATCAGGATCTCAGAGAATGGTCTGGGCATTTAAACCTTGCTGGGTCCCTGCAATGTCCAGCCAGACTTGACAGCCACTGAGTTAGTCTTCCACGCACATTCACTCAGTGGAAGCCGGGCACCTATCAGCAACACGCTGGACGGTGTGTACAGCAACTACCATTTCTGTGAATGAAAGAGAATGTTTTTTCTTGTATGTGCATCGAATATTTCTGGAAGGATACACTAAAAGAAACTGGTATAATAAGGGTGGCCCTTGGGAAGAGAGATTAGGGGTGTGAAATGAGAGGCTTATATTTCAATGTGTATCATTTTATACTGTTTGAGTTTTAATCAGGTGCCCTGAAAAGTTAATACTCTTGAAAAAAATCATAATTTGTGAGCCGTTTCTCAAGGCCACGTGGTACTGGCCAGTGCCCGTGCTCTCAGGGTCTCCACGGAGCCCTGCACGCGCGGAAGGGACCAAGTGCCCTTCTTGGCCTTGTGCTCACTGCTGTGACCAACATCGTTTTCAGAACTAAGTGAGCTGCATCTTCTATTTGAAACAACCGCTTAGCTAATTTCATTCCATCATGTATTTCAGTTCAACAAGCCACACAAAAATTCAAGGAATCTAAAAGGTATAGAACGCAGTTTTACAGTTATCAACACACAGCTGATAATTTCAGAGGTTCGCAGAGATTATTTAAATAAAATACTTTTTTCTATATGTTGCTTTCAACAGCTGTGGGAGTTTATAACTGAGTCTCAGATATTAAGTGTCCTTTTTAGGTGTTTTTTTTTTACTTTGAGGAGAGGGCAGGTTCCTTTAGCGTATTTACCTTATGATTTTGATACCAAAAAAAAGTTCATTCATATTAATGGAAAGAAGGAAACTGTGTGGTCTATAACAAGACTCCTTTGAAAAATGACAATATGCATGCCAGAAACATCAAGAAAAAGAATAATATAACAAGAGGTCAGATTCTGGAATACCAGAGAATCTTTAAGGATCGTCTGTTTGCAAAACTCTTAAACATATTCATTCATTCATTCATTCATTCATCGAACAAGTATTTACTAAGCGCAACCTCCTGCCAAGCCCTGCACTAAGCACTACAGCCATGACAAGAGGGCTAGGATTAGAAGAATTCCCATATCTAACCACAACATGGACATTTTCTTGTTTCATTCAGTTACCCAAATGTATGCTTAAAGCGGCAAATTTAAATGATATTCTTGTTATATTTCTCAATCATGTTTTATAAGAGAACTTGAGTAAATGAGAACAGTTAATTAAGAGCTAAATGCAATCAAATACACTACATTTGTTCCCCGTCACCCCAAAGGTTTCAACTGTAGGTTAGAAAAAAGAAAATGTCCAATTTTCTGGGTACACCAGGGAACCACAGTTGGCAATCTGAAGTATTTATAAGGTGTTAAAGGCAGAACACATTAGACTACTGCTTCTTCCTAACACATCCTAAAATGAAACACCTGTTTCATCTCTGGAGGAACAAGCAGGTTAACGTCTAACTTGTCTCCAACTTGTGAAGGAACAGAGTTGCCATGACAACTGAAGGAAAAGTTTAGTGAGCAGAATTTACCAATGAAATGCAAAATTCCACCCAATTCCATTTAACTGGTATGTGTGTACTTGTAAGCAAAGGCTAGTTTTCTGTTTGTTAAACCATCAGAATAAATGATAATGTGTTCTGTGAAAAGTTTCATGGATAAAATGTTTAAAAACACACACTCCTTTTTGTCAGAGTAAGCCACAAATAAATAAAATTGAACAATGACTGTCTGACAAGTCAATATTGGCAATGCGGCCTTCCACATGACAGGGTCTCAAGTATACTTAAATCAAGGAAAACCAGATACTTCTGAAGTCGGTGCCTTTCTTAGGTTGTGTTCAATTGTCAGGTCAATTCAGGGACATGTTTCATTTCTACTGATATCCATTACACAATGCCACCTAGGGCATATTCAAATAAACAGACTATCAATTTTCCTAGAAAAATCCTTCTGTCATAAACACACAGTATATTTAGGTTGTGCACACATGCTGCACGATTACATTATTCACGTCCAACATTATCCTCACTGGAAACTAGAGTGAGGTCCCCATCAGATACGCAGGTTTCCCATCCGCCCCCGTCGGCTTTGAGGGCCGAATTTCTACTGCCCCAGTGACCGCCCTGCATGAACTGGTGGTCATTTTCAAGTAGACATCTGTGAATAATCAGACACCAGTGGTCACTGATTTAAAGATGTATTACTTCAAACACAGAAACGCTCTTAGTTATGGTTAAAAGGTCTCAGGCGTGGCGATAAAATCATCTTCGTACGGCAGACACGTATCTCTTTATAACACTACACTGGACCCAAACGCTAGAGCACGATGTACAAATTAAGCAAGATTCAGGGACGAATAAAAATATTCCAAATGTACATATGAATGAGAAGCGCATGGTGAAAGAGAGGGGAACATGATAGCCGGGGACCCAGACTCGTGCTAACACTAAAATCTTATGTAACAGAAAGCGCCTGCCATGCAACACATCCCCACAACATCGGAGTATTAATGGCTGCGTTTAATGGCTGCGCTCATTGCGCTTAACAGATTATACTATTTTGGCACAAACACAAAGTGTGCAGCAAGAAAAACGTATGTACGTGATGTGTGAGAAGGCACACTGTCCCTTCCAGAAGTCCATCACACAGGCAGCTGGACAGCTTCCGGCTGAACACAGAGGGTCGGCAGCCCACCGGCTTCCATCCCCCCCCCCCGGCCCCGCCCCCGCCTCCCACCGAGCACGCCTCACAAGAGTGCCTGTGCGGCTTGAGCAGTGATTCGTGGACGTTCCGTTTACAGAGGGGTGGGGTTGAGGGAAATCGCCATTCCATGCCCAGTAAGCTGGAAAAGTCTGGCCTGTTTTTCCTCTTCTCCAGAGTAATCATTTCTCACGGACCAGAGATAAAAAGAATGCTTGGTAAGTAGGAGCTCACTAAATATTTCAGCACTCTTACCCGCAAGGGAAAGACTGACTTTTACAGCCAAGGACACGATCTCACCCTGAGGGCCTAACCACTCACGCCCGCCAGGGACTCAGACAAGCGATGAAACATTTGCTCCTTTGCGTCCACACCAAGAAAACCAGTGGCTGGGGAAGTCAGCGCGGTCCCAGTTCCCAAATCAGACTCGCCCGCCAGGAGCTCACACTGGCAGCCGGAGCATTTCACGAGCGCAAGGACGGCCTTTTACACCCCCTTGGCCGAGGAGACACAACTGCAAAGGCTTCCTTAGGCTGACCTCACAGGCAGACCATGAGAAACACAACCCAAAGCCACAGCGACAGAAACCAGCGCCCTCGCTACATCCACACTCTGTGCATTAAAACACCACAGGCCCGGCCCACCTCTCAAGACCACCTACTCAGTCTAATGACAACGTGTAACATGACTGACTCGGATTTCAGAACCGAAAATTAAAATGCCTGTCTCAGCTTTCAAAGCAGCCAGTCCAAGCCCCTCAGCGTACCCAAGGTACCCCAAATCTCAAAGGTCGTGTCACCTCTTTCCGTATATTTCAAATAAATCTTACCTAGGTCTCTCTCGACCGCCGACTGGAGAGCTGGGTGCAGCTCCTGAGCCCTGCTGGAGACCAGGCTGCCTGAGGCTGGAGGAGGGCCGGGACCCTGCCCCGCCGATAAAACTGTGCACACAGATACCGCCTGCGCTCACCAGCCTCCCCGGTTACACTGGCCTCCTGAGGGTCGTCACGGACTTCGGTGTTAAGTACATTAAAGTTCACAGCATACTGCTCTCCGTTACAGGGACTACCACTTATTTTTACAAAGAAGAGGAAGTCTCTAGAGAGTTGTTACTCAAATCAGGTCTCTCCGCCAGTGTTACACTCAGTCCCTCCCTCACGATGCAAAATACTCCAAAGACCACTTAACATTTAAAATAATGTGGTCTTTTAATGCACAGAGTGTAGGTGTAGAGAGGCGCTGGTTTCTGTCGCTTAAATCACAGAGGCAGCACGAATTTGTTCGAGCAAAATCCAAAATACCAACAAAATATAAAACACAGAAGAGTCGAATGAAAGCTTCACCCGCCGGTTGACCACCCCTGTTAAAATGCTGGTGTGCAGGGCCGCTCACCTTCGTACAGACACACACAATCAACCCCACACGGCCATCTTCAGCATCTTCAACACATGTGTGCATGTGTGTATATACATAAATACACATGTACGTGTGATATATATAAATATATATATATATATAAACAGACATAAAATAAAGATTTGGTGGCTGCAGAACACCAGCCATTGTGCAGCTGTGTCACTTCACTTAACACATTTCTCCTGCTGCTTAAATAAGATTTTATTCTTGGTAGGAAAAACTTGCAAATAATTCTGAAAAATACACCGTACTCCTAAAACCATTCCTGACTGTCCAGGCCCCTCCACCCGGGTCTCAGTGACTGGTCTTAACGCTCCTCTGAAGACTCAGTCTGTTTCATCACGGACACCATCCAAGTGGAAAAAAAAAAAAAAAAAGTAAAATCGCGTGGCTTCTGTTCCGTCTCAAGTCTCCCATCTATAGAAAGAGAAGACAGTTCACGCCCATAAAGCCTCAATATGAATGATACTGAATTCCATGGCTTAAGAGGCGCTCCGTAATACTTAAAATCGTTCTCTACTGCATTTTATTCTTTTCACAAGATTTTCAAATATATTACCTCCTCACCACAACCTTATTACACAGGGCGGGCGCGTTACAAACGCCAAGACCGAGGCCCAGAGAAATGGAGAGACATGTGGGTCCCATGGCAACATGGTGCACGAGACAGGACAAAATCGACGGCCTCCGCGACGAAAAGAACGCACGACGTGAGCCCGGACCGGCCCCAAACCCCTAATACCCCGCCGGGACCCAAGGCACGGGTCAGGACCAGGAGATGTGATCGGGGCGGGGGGGGTGTGCTCACAGATCCAGAGCAGCGCGCAAGGAAGCCTCCAGGAAGACTTAGGAAGTAGTAGAAAGAAAGCAACAGGGGCCTTCTGCACAGCACAGGGAACTATATTCCGTATCTTGTAGTAACGTATAATGGAAAAGAATATGAAAAAGAAGATGTATGTACAGATGGATAACTGCGTCACTGTGCTGTACACCTGAAACTAACACAACATTGTAAATCGACTGCAGTCCCGTATAAAATAAAAATTAAATTAAAAGAAGATAGTAAAAGCCATGATTCCTTTCCTCATGTTCTCACTGTCTAGGGAAGGAAAACTCAGGCACGAATCCAGATTCAATTCAGACCACCTTTTGGGTTATCACGTGTATGGCAACTAAATAAAGAGGCTCTCCCCACAGCAACGCCAAAAAAAGAAATGAAACCTGTGATTTCTGTGTCACGTGTCTTATGTTACAGTCAGTAAAAACGTGAGCGTAGTGGGCCTAATCTGTGTTTCTTCCAGAATATCCCCCCGACCCCAGGACAAGCTCATTAGAAATGCTAGCGTCGTGGGAGCTGGCAGTGGAGGCTCCTCTGGGAAGGAAGAGTGAATCCTCGGTCACAGCAAGGGTGAGAACAGTGCATCCTCCATGTGTGGTACTTAACGCAGGGGTGAACTCCTCATCCGCGTCGGAATTACCTTCCTGTTATAGTTTCCAGTGCGTTCTTTGCTGTTCGTGCATCTCGGCGTAGGACCTGCTGTCCTCAGACTGTCCTACCTTGGTCTGTATGGGCAGAGCGCAGCGCCACAAGCCCAGGAGATGAGCATCAGACGCCACTGGATAACAGTGGTAAGTGGATTAAACCGTACTTACATAATACTAACCCTGGAACCGGTGACTTAATGTTGTTCTAACCGTTTGGATTAGCACTAACTAGGCCCTGTGGCCTCGGATATTCAGGACTGGAGAGGCGCAGGGGTGGGGTCTCTCCTTCCCAGCATTTACACAGCCACCTACCAAGCGGCTGAGATGCTCTCCTTTACCCCTCTCATCCCAAGCAACACGCATGCTTACTCGCTTCGTCTAACTGGTCCCCAATAAGACACTGCCTAACCGGTGACCTCTTCCGCCTCCCTCTTGCATACACATTTGAGGTGGAAACTGGTCCACTAATTTACCAGAGACATTAAAAAAAAACACCTTAAGATAAAACTTCAAACTTGAACCAAACATGCAGCTCAAGAAGTCAGTGGGGGTCTTCCCTGGTGGCACAGTGGTTGAGAGTCCGCCTGCCGATGCAGGGGACACGGGTTCGTGCCCCGGTCCAGGAAGATCCGGGAAGATCCCACATGCCGCGGAGCGGCTGGGCCCGTGAGCCATGGACTCTGAACCTGCGCGTCCGGAGCCTGTGCTCCGCAACGGGAGAGGCCACAGCAGTGGGAGGCCCGAGTACCGCAAAAAAAAAAAAAGAAGTCAGTGGGCACACTTGGCTTTTAAAAGTTCCTAAATGAACATGCTTCCCTGAGATGCAGGGGAACCAAGAACCCACTTCTACTTGTTTGAGCCTCCAGACAAATAACCTCATTTTGTTCTCGTTTATCCTTCTGGAAAAAAGAGTTATATCACACACACATGTATGTGTGTGTATGTGTATGTATATATCAATTAGGTGAAAGTGAAAGCACTGTAAAGACCAGCAAATAGAGAATTCTCTCAAATTTCAAGACCACGATGCAACTTTATAACTTCAGAGCTTACACTTCACAAATACCATAATCGCAGAGTGTCCCATCTCCTTCTCCCAAACTTGAAAATTCAATCTCTTCTGATTCTTTTTCTGTCTTCCTAGCAAGCTCTTTCCTCAAAGCTATGAAAAGGGCTTCTTGTCGAGATCCTGAAAAAATACACTTAAGAAGGAATCCCAACTGTGATGACCCTTTGCAGGTGGAACGCTGGGAAGCACAAAGATCTGAAAATGACCTGTGAGGTAAGCTACTTACACCAGGCCTCAAAGTTCCTCTCTAATCAAGTCCAGTGAGTGTAAACTGGAGGGACGAGCGGATGGTGAGGAAGTTGGGGAGGTGACAGGGCCGGGCACAGGGTGAGCAGAGCACCATCCAGGGCACGACTGCAGAGAAGGGGGGAAGGGCTTAAGATGACTAGTGGAAGTCCACCACTGAGAGGAGAGAGAGAGAAGAACTCTAAAACAAAAAGATGTATATACAAACTGGGTCTTATTTTTACTTAGGCTTTTCCCCAAAATGCATGGAGATCTATGCTACAAAACCGCCCAAAAGCCAGCCTGAATCTTCCTTTCATTCTCAAGATCTACAAGGTACTGCCTGTATTTAAAGGCACTAAAGAATACAAAATCAGGGACTTCCCAGGCGGTCCAGTGGTTAAGACTCCGCACTTCCACAGGTTCCATCCCTGGTCAGGGAACTAAGATCCCGCGTGCCGTGCGGAGTGGCCAAAGGGGGGAAAAAGAAGACAAATTTCACAGACACAATTTAAAAGAATACAAATTCCCGTTAGGCGCGCTAGAGGTTCAACCTAAGCGTTGCACCTTAACTTCTGAAAATCTATTCAGCTACAAAGTGGGCCCCCAAGGGCAGCTCATTGCCTGTCTGAGGTACCCCTTCCCCCAAAAGCACATGCGAGCTCCTATTTTGTTAAATCTGGATAGATATGAAGTGCGAGGTCATCATTCTGTAGGGCGAGAGAGGGAAATTTTCCACTCTCCCAGGAAGGCTGCACAGCATCTGAGAGTTCAGCCAGGTGAGGAGAGCAGGAAGAAAGACTCGCCCGGGTGCCCTTGGTCGACGTGGTGTGACACGGTTGATTTGGCCCTCATCTTCCTGAGTCTTTACTGCATTTCTTTTTCCAAGGGGAACCCTTAGCAGGGACACTGCTGAAGGGCCCTGAGACCTCCAGTTTTCTCCTGGGCATTCACCTCCCAAACTTGCAGAAAATCCTAATGAGGTCAACACAAACAAACCTCCGAAACCGTTCCCTGGCCCAGTTTTGTGTTCTTCACTAGACACCAACAGGAGGTCAGAGCACTGCACTGAGGATGTTCCCACAAAGTTAGAATCAGTTTCCCTAATATGGCCAGGCCCTAAATATAGCCACAGTTTTTTTGTTCAAAAGACACTCCCTTACAGTTGTAGATGGAGGAAACGGTGGTGGGAAAGTGAGCGTAGAGCACAGGAAGCCACGACCGTGCATTCAGAGGGCTCTTGTGTCCTTGACAAGGGCTGCCCAAGCAAAGACACCTGGAACACATGCCCTGTCCTCTCCAGGCTTTGTTCCCTCCACCGAGTCTGGGTTACCAGGAGGGAAGAGGAGAAATTACACACCCTGGGCCAGAAGTAATTCTACCGAGTTCTGAGAAGCAACACAGCATCACTAGTACCCAAAGCAGTGAAAGGAGTAGAATTCCCTGCTTGAATTGTAACGATTCAGTACACCTACAGAACACACGGGAATTTAACGAAGGTGTGTCAAGCCTTCACAACTTACCTTCCAAATAACAACACACACCCACACACACCCACGGTCACAAAAGACTGGTAACGTTCACGTAACTGCCGTGAGGGGCTTTGGGCGCTTTCAGCGAATGGGATTTACGCGGAGCAAAACCTAGAACACAAAAATTGGCCCAAAATGCAGTCAAAGTTCCGCTTGAAACTTTTGAAAGGTTAAGTACCCTGGGTCTACACTTCAATTATAAACTCCTTCTGCAAGACATTTTAGCCAGAAAGCACCCAGCAGAGTGTCCAAGTTGGAAGTAGATGCTCAGTAAAACACCTGCTGGGAAAAAACTGTTACAGGCAAGTAAATGAACTTCTCAACACAAGCGTGCTGAAAGGCAATACAGGCCGTTTTAAGGCCCCGTGTTAAAGTTAGCCCAGGAGGGCGGACGGGCCTAGAGCGTTCAGGCTGGACTGTGCGCTCAAAGCGCGCAGGTCAAATGCAGGGTCTGTCGCCCCCATCTGCGGGTCGCGCTCTCTGCGACTTAACGTTCCCTCGGCCGTGAAAGGGGGATCGGATCACACCCGGCGCCCAAGACTGCCGGGCGAGCAACCGGGAGAAAGCAACCGAAGGCACCCAGGATGCCAGCGCGCCGCCCGCGCGCGCGCGGCGCGTCTCCGGAGGCGCGTACCGGGGGTCAGTCCGTGCGCACACGCACCAGCTTCGCTGCGCGGGCACCTCGGGCTCCGCACACGTCCCGCGCAGCCGGCGCCCCGCGGCGAGGAAGCGGCTCGCTGCCAGGCACGCGTCCGAGAGCCGGTCCCACGGCGAGGAAGGAGGCGGTGCCGCGCTCGCGCCACGGCGTCTCCCACACAATAGGCTGCAGCGGCGCCCCAGGCCCCCCACGACCCGCGACCCCCGGGCCCGCGGCGGGTACCCCCGGAGCCCCGGCACCTCCAAGCGGGTGGGGGGGGGGAGCGCCGCCCGGCGCCTGATTGGGGCCCACGGTGCCGGGTCGCCGGCGGCGGCGTGCCGGGCGGGCCCCTCCCCTCGTCCCTTCCCGCTCCGAGCCCCTCCGTCCCGCGGCCCCTCACCTGAAGGCCGGCCCCTCCCGGGGCGCCCGGCCCGGGGCTGCCGCCGCCGCCGCCGCCGCCGCCGCGGAGCCGCCGCCGCCCTTCCTGTTGAAGAGCCTCTGCAGCAGGGTCGGGGCCATGGCGCTGCGGCTCGGCTGCGGCTGCGGCTCCGCGGCCTCGGCCCGGCTCAGCGCGCGGCCGGGGGCGGCGGCGGGGCCATCGCGGCGCGGGCAGCTGTGCTCGGCGCCGGGGCCGCCGGCCGGTCATATGACGGGGCTGGCCCGCCGCCGCCGCCGCGCGCTGACAGTTCTCCCCGCGGGAGGAGCCGCCGCCGGCGCGGGAGGAGCGCGGCCGCCATTGGCCCCGGGACCCCGCCCGGCCCCGCATCCGGGGGCGGGGGCCGCGGGGGGCAGGAGGCGGGGGGCAGGGGGCGGGGCGAGGCGCTTAAAGGGGGCCTGGGGAGACGCGGGGGGGGGGGGGCGGGGCGCTTAAAGGGGGAGGGGGGTGGGGCCTCGGGGAGGCGGGGGCAGGGCACTTAAAGGGGGACGGAGCGGGGGCGGAGAGGGGCGGTGCTTAAAGCGGGGGCCCCGAGGGCGGGGTGCGGGGCCAGCTGGGTGAATGCCCTAGTGGGCAGGGGGCGGGGACCCGGGGGGTAGGGCTGGGGGCTGGAGTTTGGGGTGGAGGTTGTGGTGTTGGTGGGACGGGGGGCGGGGCCCGGTGGTGTTGGGGCGGGGGGGCGGGAGGGCGCTAGGACGCTGGGCGGGGGAGCGGGAGGGCGCTGGGACGCGGGGCGGGGTCCCTTGGGGGGCCGGGGTGGAGGGGTGGTGCTGGAACTGGGGCCGGGACCCGTGGGAGGGGGTAGGGGGGCGCGGCTCCGAAGGCGGCGGGGGTCCCCGGGGCGCTGCGTCCCTCGGAGCCCCGGAGAGCTGCAGGTCGGGTCTTTGTCGCGTTGAGACAAAGCCGCTGAACCTGGGCTGTCGCCTGTGCAGGTGCGCGGCCTCGTTCGCGGGAGGCGTGCGCTGGGGGAGCGGGCTTCCTGCACGAGGTCGCCGCTCAGGGGTTGATTGGACGGAATCTCGCGACACCCCAGGCACTGGCGCTTGTGCCGGATCCACGTGAGAGTTCTCCAGGTTTGCTTTCATGAGGTTTTGGGGTTTTTTAATATTTGGTCGAGTAATTTGCTGTTTGGCATCTTGGGCCACCATCCCATAGTTACGTAAAAAGTTGCACGTGGAATTCACTACGTAGATTTAGAAACTTAAGCTATTTTAGAACAAGGGACTGCTTTCCTAATCATGTAACAGAGCACATCCTAACCTGATACCAGGCGGACGCTGTTTGGTGTGGGGAAGGGAGGTCTTACCGTGGTACCTGAGTTCACTCACCTGCCAGCCCCTCCCTGGGTCTGTGAGAACTCCCGGCTGCGGTGTGAGGGACCTGCCTTCCAGCGCTGGCTGCCCAGCGTTTACTCGGTGGTGAGATCCCGACCCACGCCATGTCCTGCATGAGCCGCGGTCACTGAGCGCTTCACCTGGATTCTCTTAGACTTGTTGAAAGGAGGACTCTTGGAGACTCAAAAAGGCAAATGTATTTCCATGAATAGAAATATAATCCAACATATCTCTTCTGGGCCCAATTTAGTTTGCATTATCATTTTTTATTGCGTAGGTTTCTGGCCTTGGTGGGAAACTAGCTGTGCGTGAAGATGTGCTGAAATTTCACATAAGTATGGGAAAGGTGGTAGAAATTGAAACGCAGTCATTTTTTTTTTCCTTCAGATTTTCACCATTAAAATGGTGAATTAAATGTTCATGCTGGTTCATCCTTTCCCATGATGGAGTGTGCACAGAACCCTGATTTGCAGCTCTGCTGTTTCTGTTTATTGAAAGCATCTACCTCACAGGACTGCCAGTACTGGTCAGTATCCTGTATTTCAGGTATTGGTCTCATCTGTTATGATTTTATTAAGACAAGGTCCTCAGTCATATTATGGCCGGCCACACACCACCATTCCTTACCCCATCCTTGGTCAGAAAATATCTTTTATTCTTAAAACTAAAATCTGCATACTCGTGGTGTGCCTAGCAGCTTTTGCAACAGCGTACCAAAGAGGAATTTGGTATGGTGTCCTTGGTTCCTCACCTCCAAGGGCTGTTCCTGTCCCACCCCTGTCCAAGTCTGTGGGATCATCCACAAGGGACAATTAAAAACTCAGCCTGCCCCGCCATCTTTCTCAATTTTGGACCTGACTGGGCAAAGGAAAAGTGTGCATTTACAACTACAGACAACACTTCAGTTAGGGGAGAAAAAAGGAACTGAAATGGTGCCCTTCTCCCACTTTGCTTCCTCTCAACTCCACGTTGTTCCTCATCCTGGCTCTGGCCACACCTTTCTCGCTTTGGATTTTAAGTGTTACAAAAATCCTAACCCACCGAGTTCTGGGAGACAGCTCCAGACAGCCCTTGCACCCCAGCTTCACTGTTTCTCCTCCTGGCTGTTCCGGGCCTCTTCAGAAACCCCTCGAGTCCCCTGGCATCCGTTGGTCACTGCTTCAGCCCTGAGGCTTAGTGCCGTCCCAGGCTCCAGCACTGGTCCTTCCATAGTCTCATACACCTCATCCTCCGTCTTGGACAGTAATCTGCCGGCTGCTCCTGCAGGCGGCCGTGGAAAGGAGGAGGAACCCAAACAATATCCTGAGGGTCTGGAGACGCAGAATAGGTCTCAGATGGGGAAGGCTGACTTCCTGGTCCTATTCCATTCTGAGTCCCGGTGAGCGTTCCCTCCAGTCTGAGTGTGAGTTCTGCAAATTGCTTTAGGTGTTTTGCTTCCACAATTAGAATGTCATGGAGCCTGTAGCCTACCTGATACCTGTTACCCCCTTCTTCCCAAAAGAAGCCCAGTTTTGTTCAGGTGTCCGTTCCTCCCTCAGGCCTGCGTGCCTCAGGGAAGACCGACACTGTCCCCAGCCTGAGTCTGAAAGATCTACGGGAAATCCCGTTGCTTTTGCAAGGTGGTAGCTCAGGAATGAGCTAATGGGGAACAGGAGGCAAGAGGGAAAGGAGCTGGAGGGGAAGGAGGTGTTCTGGAAGTTTCTGCACTCTTCATAGAGAGCTATAAGGAGGGAGGTGGGGTTTCCCCTTCCTTTGGAGGTTGTATCTCTACGTGTAACGCGATAGTTCTTTTGCTGCAGCCTGAGCATGAAACCAGCCAGAGCAGGGAGGTGTGTCCCTCAATAACATTATTGAGCCACAGTCCCTGTACCCCGGCTGACCTTCCCCATTCAGTGAGATAATTTGCTAGTATCTGAAGCCAAAAGCAGTGTATAAGAGAGGGTCCTGTTTTCTGTCCTCAATTGCTTGTTATTTGAGGCAAATAAACCCTACCTGCTTAACTTTCAGTGTACCAGGGGAACAGTCATCACCAATGGACCTCCTCTATTGTTTTCATATTTTGATGTCATTTTGCAAATCATTTATAAGAGGGAAGAATAAAGGAATGGTGAAAATAATTTTTAAATTAATTTTTATTGGAGTATCGTTGCTTTACAATGTTGTGTTAGTTTCTGCTGTACAGCAAAGTGAATCAGCCATACATACACATATATCCTCTTTTTTGGATTTCTTTCCCGTTTAGGTCACCGCAGAGCATTGAGTAGAGTTCCCTTTGCTATACACAGGCTAGGTTGTTAGTTGTCTATGTTATACATAGTTGTGTGAAAAATAATTTTTAAATAAATTTTAAAAAGAATTTAAACATAGCAAACTCAATTTTTTATTGCATATTTTCCTATATTTGAAGGAGCATTACCCTAACTGGCCATGAATACAACTATTGACAGGACCGAGGATTATGGATTTTTGCATCTCCAGCTCCGTACGTGGATTCTGTGAGGTAATCGGTAGCAGGGATGTGGGGTTTTTTGAACAAATTAAATGTAAAAATGTTGATCTGATACTGTTACTTCTCAGTTTAAAAAACTGCCCACAAGACACTCCTTCTTCCAAATTAAAAAAAAAAAAAAAAAAGTTTCTTTTCAGGTAATATTTACCTATTTATTAATGCCTCTAAGGTGTGTAACTTTGGTCCAGGCACTTAAATTCATGCACATATTTCAGATTCTGTGGACTTTATTTCACCTCCAGAGGTGAGGTCTTGGGAGCAATACAGAAACCCTCTCCCACACACTCATTCACACTCAAACACAGTGCATAACATTTAGAGGATGCAGGGAGGTACAAAGATGGTTATGGTCATGTGTCCATCTGCAAGCTGGGTAAGTAGAAATAGCTACACATAACATGTGTGTGACCTTCCTTCCTTCCTTTATCTTTTTTTTTTTTCTTCTTTGTTCACTTGTTCATTTGACAGGGATTTTATTTTGGGGGTCTGATGACCGCTTAAGTCAGTAGTTCAGCAGACATCATACTTCATTGCTCTTCACTCGTGAATTCTATGTGAATTCATCCAGTTCTCGTATTTAGCCAGTAGTCATCTGGTGTGCCAATGCCGCCTGTGCCCTAGCCACTGACTCTTCCCTGTTTGTTGCACAAAAATTACTTTGGAATTCTGCTTCAAACTGGGACTTGCCCACCCACATTCTGCCCCACCTCCCCTTCCTCAAAGCCCACTAAAACGACAGCAGAGGAATAAGAAGGTGTCGGCCTGCAAGGAACAAGGACAAAGGGCAGGAGAGATTTCCACAAACATTTGGCCAAGGACAAGTGTTTGCAGGTGGAAAGTGGATGAAGGAGGAGTAACTAGTTGATCAGAGAGGAGGAGTTCAAACCCAAGAATGAAAACGCAGGCCAGCCCCCCTGAGACTCTGAAGCCTCCGCACTTGGGAGGTGAGGGTCCCTGAAGGATGGGTGAAGGTCTACACGTGAACTAGTTAGACCCCAGGGCCCTCCTCTCCTCACCCTGCACTACCAGGCACCGTCTATCCATCCGTGGGCCAAAGAGGGGCATCAGGTGAGTGCCTGGCCAGAGGGAGAGGATGGCGGCAGACAAAAGCTCTCCAGACATCTGCCGTGGCAGGAGCCCAGTGGAAAGCCGGTCCTCTACTAGAGCACCTGCTTGTGGGTTTCACAAATCAGTACTCCACACAGAGAATTTCTTCTAAAATGCTTAGAGTCTCACTCCTCAGTATGAGGGGCAGTCCAGGAATCGGTAACCATGTGATGAACACCTGCAACATGCTAAGGAAAATACACACAGAAGTGAAAGGGAACTGGAGCAAACAGACAATGCAAGAAGAAAGGGACTTCAAAGCTGTAATTGATTAATAGCATCAAAGGGACAAAGTAGATATGCCTGTAACACAAAAACAGGAAGCGATGAAAGAAGAACACTCAACAAGAAAGCTCTCTTGAAAATTAAATATATGATGTAAATAAAATATTCAGTGAAAAGAACTGAAGGATAAAGTTGGGAAAGATGGAAAATAGAAGAGGAAAGATGAGAATGTTGGTGAATCCATCCAGAGAATTACTAATAGGAGCTTCAGAAAGGAGATCAGAGAAAACAGTGGGGAGCAAATCATCAAAGAAATAATAAAAGAAAATTTCCCATAGCTGAAGGAGAGGTGTCCCCATATGGATAGGGCCTGCCCAGAACACGACATGTCCTTGAACTTCAAGGCATTTCATCATTAAATTTCAGAACATCTTGGGTAAGGGAAAAAAACTGTAAAACCTTTCAGAGAGAAAAGCTAATCAAAAAAATGGAGCAGGGGGTTTCCCTGGTGGCGCAGTGGTTGAGAGTCCGCCTGCCGATGCAGGGGACACGGGTTCGTGCCCCGGTCCGGGAAGATCCCACATGCCGCGGAGCGACTGGGCCCGTGGGCCATGGCCGCTGAGCCTGCGCGTCCGGAGCCTGTGCTGCGCAACAGGAGAGGCCACAACAGTGAGAGGCCCGCGTACCGTAAAAAAAAAAAAAAAAAAAAAAAAAGAGCAGGACTCAGAACAGCATCAGAGCCGTTTCTAGCTGCTCTTGATGGTGGCAGACAACAGAGCGGCACCTTAAACGTTCAGAGGGAAGACTGTTTTCATCCTAGGATCCTGGACTAAGCTAAACCATAAATCAGTACTGTAGAATACACACACTTTTAGATACACAAGTTCTCAAACATTGTACCTCCATTCTTTTTCAGGCAGCTGGAAGATGTACGTACGTTAGCAAAATAGGGGATTAAAACAAGAAAAGGGAAGATACAGGCAACAAGATACTAGGAAAAAAAGCAGCTGGGTGGCAGGAAGGGCAACCCAGGACCTCTCGAAAACAGGCTAGGGGCAGGAGAAGGGAAGGGGCTCCAGAGGTAGCTAAGGAAAACAGAACGAAGTATTCGAGTGTAAGGAGTATATTATTAATAAGTATATGGCAGAGGTGCTGGAGCATTGGGGAAAAATTAACGATAGGCAGCTGGAAAACCAAACAAATGATAAAATGAGGCAATTATTAACTTCAGAAAAAAAGAAAGCGTGTGCAGGAAAAGAAAAAGTGGTTGCAATGCGTTAGTTGGCTCTTGGTCACTGAGTGACCGATATTTATATAGTCTCACTAATGTAACGTCAGCTATTGATTTAACAAAAATTATACGTAACTATGCTGGGGGAGGGAAGAAGAAAAGTGGGGTCGGGGTAAGGGAGGGATAGTCTAGTATTTATTCACAATGGCGGGAAGTCAAGAGACAAGGACTTAAATTGGCAAATCAAGAAACAGTGACAGAAGCATATAACTTTTTAAAGAGATGGAGGAAGATATCAGTGAAGCTAGCTAGAAAAGTTGAAGGTGGTAACCTGTAGGGCTGGGACTGGCTGTGGGGAAGGGTGGGGCAGGAGACCCATGTTTGTTTGTTTTTTAATTTATTTATTTTTGGCTGTGTTGGGTCTTTGTTTCTGTGCGAGGTCTTTCTCCAGTTGCGGAGAGTGGGGGCCACTCTTCACCGCGGGGCGTGGGCCTCTCACTATCACGGCCTCTCCCGCTGCGGAGCACAGGCTCCAGACGCGCAGGCTCAGTAGTTGTGGCTCACGGGCCCAGTTGCTCCGCGGCATGTGGGATCTTCCCAGACTAGGGATCGAACCCGTGTCCCCTTTACTGGCAGGCGGATTCTTAACCACTGCGCCACCAAGGAAGCCCCCGCTGGGTTTTATTATAAAGCCTTTTAGTACTATTTGACTTTTTATTTTATTTTATTTTTAAAACATCTTTATTGGAGTATAATTGCTTTACAAGGGTGTGTTAGTTTCTGCTGTATAACAAAGTGAATCAGCTACAGGTATACATATATCCCCATATCTCCTCCCTCTTGCGTCTCCCACCCTCCCTATCCCACCCCACTAGGTGGTCACAAAGCACTGAGCTGATCTCCCTGTGCTATGCGGCTGCTTCCCACTAGCTATCTATTTTACATCTGGTAGTGTATATATGTCCATGCCACTCTCTTACTTCATCCCAGCTTACCCTTCCCCCCTCCCCGTGTCCTCAAGTCCATTCTCAACGTCTGTGTCTTTATTCCTGTCCTGCCCCTAGGTTCTTCAGAACCATTTATTTTTTTAGATTCCATATATATGTGTTAGCATACAGTATTTGCTTTTCTCTTTCTGACTTAACCTCACTCTGTGTGACAGACTCTAGGTCCATCCACCTCACTACAAATAACTCAATTTTGTTTCTTTTTATGGCTGAGTAATATTCCATTGTATATATGTGCCACATCTTCTTTATCCATTCCTCTGTTGATGGACACTTAGGTTGCTTCCAGGTCCTGGCTATTGTAAATAGTGCTGCAGTGAACATTGTGGTACATGTAGCTTTTTGAATTATGGTTTTCTCAGGGTATATGCCCAGTAGTGGGATTGCTGGGTGGTATGGTAGTTCTATTTTTAGTTTTTTAAGGAACCTCCATACTGTTCTCCATAGCGGCTGTATCAATTTACATTCCCACCGACAGTGCAAGAGGGTTTCCTTTTCTCCACACCCTCTCCAGCATTGATTGTTTGTAGATACTTTGATGATGGCCATTCTGACCGGTGTGAGGTGATACCTCATTGTTATTATTATTTTTTTAAAAGAAGATGTTGGGGTAGGAGTTTATTAATTAATTTATTTATTTTTGCTGTGTTGGGTCTTCGTTTCTGTGCGAGGGCTTTCTCTAGTTGTGGCAAGCGGGGGCCACTCTTCATCACGGTGCGCGGGCCTCTCACTATCGCGGTCTCTTGTTGCGGAGCACAGGCTCTAGACGTGCAAGCTCAGTAGCTGTGGCTCACGGGTGTGACACGGGATGCTCACATCCCGCGGCATGTGGGATCTTCCCAGACCAGGGCTCGAACCCGTGTCCCCTGCATTGGCAGGCAGATTCTCAACCACTGCGCCACCAGAGAAGCCCCTTCACTGTAATTTTGATTTGCATTTCTCTAATGATTAGTGACGCTGAGCATCCTTCCATGTGATTGTTGGCAATCTGTATATCTTCTTTGGAAACTATTTGACTTTTTAAATGATAGATATGAATGTGCTTGTGTGTGTGTGTTTTCCTTTGATAAAAAGTAAAGTTTGTTTTTAAACAGTTTCACTTGTGGACATTGTTCAAGTCCTATTTCTGGGCCTGATCCTGTGAGATTCCAATCTAGTGAGAGTGGGACTCAGGAAATGAACTTTACGTAGAACCTCAACAAATTCGGATGCGAGGACTTTCCGGTGGTGCAGTGGTTAGGAGCCCACCTGCCAGTGCAGGCGATACGGGTTCAAGCCCTGGTCCAGGAAGATCCCACATGCCGCGGAGCAACTAAGCCCGTGCACCACAACTGCTGAGCCCACGTGCCACAGCTATTGAAGCCTGCACGCCTAGAGTCCGTGCTTTGCAACAAGAGAGGCCGCCGCCGTGAGAAGCCCGC